GCGGCTGCTCCAGTCCTGCAGGGGTTCCAAGTCGCCGTCGCCGTGTGAAAGCCAAGCACCAGCTGAGAAAGGCTCTTCACTGTGCTCCTGGGTCGAGTCACTGTGCCATGATGGATGGCTCATAACAAATGGAAAGATATGGAAAGTATATAGACGGCTCATCTGTTATATATCATTAAACAGCTATATTATGAGCTAATATATATAATATGGCTGTACACAGTCATCAAAATTGGCTCATTAAACATATTAAACGGCTCGATATGTCGATATTCAATGATATTCATCTAATTGTGGAACATTGTGGAACCCTTATATACATGAAAGATCATCCAAGTGGATGTCACAAGTGTGGACTGGTGCTTGTGGCCGGCCTGCTGAACCTGCCAGTATTTGCGCAGCATCTGTGGCCCTTTCCTGAGATTCAAGGATCCGCTGGGTTGGAACTCAAATGAACGAAGAAACACAACGACAGACACGACAGACACGACAGCTAGTTGCTGAGCTGAGTATCTGCAGCATTTCTTCTGGCACCTTCTTGCCACCCAGGTTGTTCAATCGAGCTAGGAGACCTGAGTGCAGTGCATCCTATCACGTCTGGATGATCCAGCAACAGCCTCACGGCAGCGAGCCTGTGGATACCAACACCTTCTCGGCCAACTGTCGGCATTCCTCATCTGAACCCTGCCACGCCGCATCACAATGCATGAAGAGATTGCAACCAGCTGCGAGCCCACCTGCAGCTTCAACTGAAGCACAAGGAAACTCACCCAGGTATCCAAAATTTCTCACATTGGGTATCGGGAATGTCGGAATGACAGGTAAAAAACATCGCACATATATCGCAGCCTTCTGCACAATGCTCTTCGTATGCTTGCACGCTTGGAAATGCAAGCACTTGTGGCGCCGGCTCGTCAGACAGCTCCGCCACAGCAGCCTGGACGCAGAAGTTGGATTTGTTTACCCAGCCCTGGGGCTGAGTCAGGGTCAACGGGTCAACGGGTCAACCGTGTGCAGCGTGCCTGCCAATCAGCAAAGGTCTGTAGCACCAGAAGGGTGACATCGTCCGGAGAAGCATAAGCTGTGTCAATCAAACAAATCTGCTGGATTTCCTAGGAGTTGAGTAGCTGGTGACAGCGACACATACTGCAAATACTTTGGCGATAGTTCCGGTTCAGTCTCGATGAAGAAATGACAAGCATTTCAAGATATTTCAAGGAAGGCAAGCAATCCTCCAGCTCAACTTGGCCCAGAATCGACTCCTTCGGCGCGAATCCGCTCCAAGATTTCACCTCAGTTCTGCTGGGCATGTCTCCCATGAATCCTAAGAATAG